CTCCTGCTATACTGGTATCGTTCCTGCTCTGCTGGGAACACTCCTGCTCTGGCTCTCTGCTCCCTGTGCTCGTCCCCGCCGGGTCTGCTCCTCCCCCAGGCTGGTTGGTGCTCGTGGTGCGCTAAACCCTGTCCCCAGATGGGAATACAAACCTTCCTATCAGTGTTTTGTTCTTGAAGCTCTCCCCTGTTTCCACCAAGTATCTCACGGGAGAAGCAGTGCTGGGTACTCCTCTGCCAAGGGGGAGGAGGGAAGAAATGCGCTGAAGGTTCCGCTGAGGATTTATAGAATCCTAGAATCAACTGGGTTGGAAAAGAGCTCCAAGATCATCCAGTCCAACCCTACCGTGGTCACTAGCCCATGGCACTAAGTGCCACATCCAGTCTCAGCTTGAAAATCTCCAGGGATGGTGAATCCACCACCTCCCTGGGCAGCACATTCCAATGCCTGAGCACTCTCTCTGTAAAAAATCTCTTCCTAATATCCAACGTAAAGTACATAAATAGGCAAAGGCACTGGAACTTTTATGTGGTAAAACTTACCAGTCAGAGCTCAACAGGCACTGAAAATAAGAATTTTTAACTTCATTGACATCTACCCTTCACTTCCTATTTGTATGATTCAGTGTAGATCTGAAGAGGTTTGCAGGGCCAAAACTTCAAGAGATGTCTTAGCAAACAGTGAAGAAGAGCTCAAATAGCCAATTTAGGACTGGACTAGTTCTAGCCCTGAAAATACAGGATTTAGGATTTTGACCTGAGAAATCAGTGTTAAGTAGTAGAATCCATAAGTCTTTCTGTTTTCAGATAACTTGGAAAAAACCCCAGAACTAGGTTTGCATTGTTTTCAGAATGAAACACTCTTTTGTGGAAACTCAGGGGTTTATAACCTTGTACCTCTCCCTTCAGGACTCTTGTGCCTCTGTTATTCTTGCTTTAATCTAAATGTGAAAGCTGCAGCATTCTTAATAACAGGCTGAGCAAACTTGTTTACAAACAATTGTTCAGTTATACTCAGTTCTGACTCAAAGCAGATACAAAATCATACTTTAAAAACAAGTTTACTGGCCTGAGTGGCACCCAGCCTATCTTTTATATTTAGCAACAGGTAAATGACTAGACAATATTATATGCCATGCATGACCTTTAAATTACTGTGCATACAGAGTGATATGTGTTGTGTAATTGCTTCAGATATACACATGTGAGTGTTGCAATCAGAAGGATTTCTGCTGCAAAAAATGCTCCAAACACTGGCTTTTCAGGTTAATTTAAAACATGGTGTATTAACTTGCTGTTCTCTTTTAAAATCTTGTACTGCTGTGTTCGTATTTCTGTATATTGGCTAAATTTACACATTTCACATCATTAAATTGCATCCACCTCAGACCTTGCTCCCAGATTGCTTCTGAGAAAGGAATGCTACTAAACATTTTCAATTGATGCTTTATTGTAGCTGGGAAAAAAAAGTGCCTCTGAAAGCAATATAAGATGCATGGTTTAATTCCAGAATAAGTTTAGTCTTACCTAGACTAGAAGGCTACAATGTCTTTACATGTTTTTAAATTACTTAAGCTTAGTCTGTCAAGCTTACAGGTAAAGGTTTCCAGTGCAAATCTGATTGCTTTTAATGTTTTCTCTAGGGTGATCTTGGCAGAAACTCCTAAAGGCTTCAAAGAATTCATTTTAGGCAAAACAAGTGAAATAAGTTGTAGTAAAATGGATCCTTGTTCAGTTGGAATTCAGCTTCAAGCTACCAACGAATGCCACAAGACCTATTACACCCGTCACACTGGCTTCAAGACCAAGGAAGATGTGTCTTCCACTGACCTCCTGCTGCTTCAGCTCAGGACAGGAATCACCCTCTCAGAGAGCAACACAATCTGCTTCCACCATGCCAAAATTTACATTGAAAGGTTTGAAGACATGCAGAAGTGCTGCTCGGATCCCTTTAACATACACAGGAAACAGTCGAAGAAAAGCTTGAGAGCAATTGACTTGGATGATGCAGCTTTCCTGAGTGCCAAGTTTGGGAGGCAGTTTGTACCTGGTTGGAAGCTTTGCCCCAAGTGCATGCAGATAATAAATGGAAGTGTGGACGTGGAATCTGAAGAGAGGCAGAGAAGGAAACTTGATCCGGATGTATGTATATGGATCAGTTTTCCCATCCCCCCTAAGTTCTGCAAGCTTTTGCAATTGAGCTTTATACGACTCCTGCAAATTAATTGTTTCATTCTAGAAATAAGGATGTACTGTTAGATGTGTGGGAGTTTACTGTATTCAAACCTTCATTTGGAGGACCTTAAAAATCCTCTTCCCTAATTAAATACTATGGCCTTTAAAATATGAACAATTCTGTCTACTAGGGTGGCTTACAGCTCCTAAGTTTGTGTAAATACCAGACTGCTGCTGGTATTTTAAGCCTTGCAAACAAGAATCCCCTGTGCTCACAACTGAACACTGCAAAAGTTGTTTCTAAGGATGTCTCCTCAGCAAAAAAAAAAATAAATTTCACTTTGTATAGCAGTTCATTACCAGATGAACCTGCATTGAGGTGAAGTAAATGTTCTCTGGTTGTGCTGTCTGAGCTGTGAAGGCTGTGGTGTTTGGTCAGGGCAGTAATGAACTGGTGTGGGAGGATAGTGCTCTAGGTGCTGAGTTTGGAATGCAGCTGGTCCCTTGTTGATGCATTGTTCAGGATGTACACAGCTCATCAGTACCAGTGTGAGCAGCTGAATTGGCAAGAGCTCCTCCATCTACCTCCCCAGCAAAGTGGAATTGCTTTCTAGGAGCTGTTGTCCTTCTCAGCCCAGGAGCTGCTGCCCAACTGTACTTTTCAACTACATGTCAGGATGATTATGAGGCTGATAGGAGTGAAATTTGAAAGCATTGATTGAAACTGCTACTATAAAACTTGTGTTGCTGGAGTTAGCGACTGGTACAGTTCTCCAGTGTAAACATCTTCAAACTTGTTTCTCCTGGGAAATCATAGGTCAAGAGTTGACCTAAGGTTATTACAATGGCCTGGCTTGACTGGACATTTTCTTCAGAATTTAGGTTTGTATTTATAATTAAATGAGATTTTCTTTTTTCAGGGACGAACAGCTAAGGCTTTAAAGTCTCTCCAGTTTACTAATCCAGGACGACAGACTGAGTTCACTCCTGAGACCAGTAAGAGGGAAAAAAGAAGGCTGCAAACAAAATTGGCAGCATTTAATTCAGACAGGTAATCTGTTTGCTGTTTATACATTAACTTTCATTTCAAAATAAAGCATCCTTGATGATCAGTGTCTCTGAGGCATATAAGATCTATGCAGATAATTGTGTGTTTATGAATTGCTTGTTTGGTTTTGAGGATGTTAAAGCTCACTCTCATTTCTGAGATGAAACAGAAGATAAAATGTTAGCATACAGTCCATATTTCAGGCAAGTAGAATAAAAACAAGTATGTGTGAGGTATGACAATATTACACAGATCATAGGTTGGCTATTAATTTTAGCATAAACTAAAATTCTGATAATAGGCTGAACTTGAATATAGTAAGATCAAGTAAACTACACTTAAAATATTGGAGTTATCTTTCAGTAAACTCAGTAGTTACACTTGGTAAACAAGAGTGTGCAACTAGTCATACAATATTTGTTAAAACATGCAAGAAATCTTCCATTATTGCCTTGTCCCTGCCCTCCACCTAAGCTGAAACTCATGAGATGGAAACAGGCACTAGATATGCTGCTCACTCCCCTTTTCCCCTCCCAACCTCTGCTTAGTTGGGGCACATAGCAGAGATACAGTTAGGACTGAGAAATGCCAGATACAATATGCATCTTTTCAATGTGCAGCGTGTCAAAGTGAACACCTGAAGAAAGCAAAACTTCCATCCACAAACATTAGCAGCTTGGCATCAAAATGAGTGGGTTTTACCATGGCAATAACTGTTGGTTCTCATTGTGCAGGCAAGTTATACCAGCCAAGAGCAAAGTCTACGACAGCCAGGGCCTGCTGCTTTACAGTGGGATGGACCTGTGTGACTGCCTGGATGAAGATTGCCTGGGGTGTTTCTATGCCTGCCCCAAGTGTGGCTCCAACAAGTGTGGAGCAGAATGTCGCTGCGACCGCAAGTGGCTCTACGAGCAAATCGAGATAGAAGGGGGAGAAATCATTAAAAATAAGCATGTTGGGTAGTGTTTATGTGCACTGTTTATCCTGAGCATGTATTCCATGCTTTGATTTCTTCATTCAGGAGTTTAGTGAAAGCCATTGGAATTTGTCACATTCCACACAATTAACGTGCACATTTTCACTGTCGTTTCTGGTATGATTATGGAGATAATCATGCTACTGTCTTTTCACACTTCATTCTACATTGGACTCAGGCTTCTCAGTCATCCAGGGAAGGTCTCAGTGAACACTCGTTCACTGTGTTTAAGTGCAAGGTGCTGAATGTCCTTGTGATTTATCCTGAGCCGCTCACTGTCCTTCCATATACTGTTTTGTAGAATGTACCATCTCCATGTAGCCTTCATTTTTCCTTCTCTAGTTCAGGATCTCGTGGGTTTTAATCTGTTTTGTGTGAAACACTCTGAAGGTTCTCAGTGAATTTACAAGCTCTCTCCAGTATTAATTGTGAATTCTGTATCTTTTCTAGAGTATCCCGGCTACATTTGATAAATTCTATCATGTTCACTTAAAAGTTATTCCAAAGCAGTCAGGTGTTCAGATCTCATCCAATTTACTGAGATTTGAGATCAAGTTATCCTTAGAAATTCAAGCCTCACGGTTAAAATACTGAAATTAAACTCTGAAGGCATTGAAAAATATGTTGAAGTATTAACTATGGCACAAAGTTTAGTAATTTTTTTTGTTTCTATATGGCACAATTAAAATAATTTTGCTTTGTTTATCAGTCTGTAATTGGACTGACCTGGTCGCTCAACAGCTCTCTCACCTTTTTATTTGTTTTACTTGTTTTTAAGGTTTCTATATGCAGCTGAAACAAATAAGCAAATTTTTCTGTTCCCAAACCAAGGATATCTAGACTGTTACAAAAAAAACCCCAGCTGAATTGAAATTATCTTTGAGTCATACATTATCTGTCCTCAGAATATTAAAACTTTGCAGTTTAGCAAGGTTTATGGGAAAGAGATTTTGCAAATTAAATCTTAGTAGCATTGTTACTCTTGGTGTTTTTGTTGTGTTTTGGATAACTTTCCTATTCTGTAATAGACCTGGAAGATCTGTTTGTTTGTTGGGTCTCATTTACTGAAGAATACTGTTAGCTGTCGATTTCTGAAGACTTTGTTGGTAAAGTTGTATCACGCTGCTGTTTGTTGAGCATATTTGCTTTTTCTCTAAGTGGCATGAAGGTGAAATCCAGAGTTATGCTTTGAGTTGTACTGACATCTGCTGGTCCTAGTGGAGTATAAACACTAGAATAATAGTCATGGCTTCCCTTACATGCCAGTGGCATTTAATGCATTGTACTTTGTTGACTACAGAGCCTGCTCATCCTGAAACAGCAATTGATCCATGTTTGGAACTGTTTCATCTCTTAAGCAATGTTTTGAATGAGGTGAAAATAAAAATAACCTCCCTGAAGGTGGTGGTGGGGTAAAAGCTAGTCCAGTCTTGTCATTTATGTGTATTTATTTTGGTTTTAATTAGCCCAGAGTCAGCAGTACCCACTGGTAATAAACTCCAAGTATGTGATGAATATGACTTATTGCTCTAAGTCCACAGCTAGATTTTGGATTCAGCAGTTGCCAGTAATGTAAGTTACTTAGAGCAGCCAATTATTAGAACTGTGTTTCTCCATCTCCATTAACTCTGAAAAGTTGGTATATTCAGTCCCTCATTTTACAGTTTACATAGAGATGAACATCACTTGGTATGTGACAGAAACATCTACAGCTTGCTGGGATCAGCTTTAAGGCCTTAGAGTTCTCAGTCCCATGAAAAAGCATAAACATAACATTTCCATCTTAAATTGTTTCCCCCTAAAATTAGAGTTACAGTTTTTGGTCATATTTTTGTCTCAATATCTGCAGTTTCAGCCTTTTCCAACTGATCTCAGTGGAATGTAGGATGTACTGACATGCAGTAGCTTGTCCCTCACAATCCAGATATTTTTCCCCAACAATTCTTTAGCAAACATCCTTAGTTTTATTCCCCTTCATACTGACTTCTAACCAGCCAATATCATACTAATGACAACTTCATTTAAACAGGCTAAACACTTCTCTCCAAGTTACACATGCTTTTAAATCCTAATAGCAGAGGAACAGTTTATTAAAGCTGTTATATTTAAAGGGTTTTATTTACAAGTTGCATCTAATATTCACCAATGTGGAAGCCACAACCAGAATTGTTCTGTTACTCACTGCAATTACATTTCAAATCATCAGCTGTCCTCCAAGCACATAGTCAGGAGATATTGTAGGGAAGTGTGAACAGTTGCAATTAAACTTTGCAGTTCAGTCTTTTTTGTTCAAAACCCATTATCCTGTCCTGCTACAGGGGATTTACATTTTCCAGGCTCCTCATACCCAGCAGAGGGCATCAGCTGACTGCAAACCTGACCCTGAGCTGCCACAAACAGCCTAGCGTGAGGGTTAGGGTGAGGAGAGACAAGAGATCCAGCTGGGCGTGGTTCTCCGACCCTGAGCTGCCACAAACAGCCTAGCATGAGGGTTAGGGTGAGGAGAGACGAGAGATCCAGCTGGGCATGGTTCTCTTGCCATGCCTAAATGGTGAGAAAATTGCCCTCTTCTTCCCCCATTTTCCTTTGGTAGCCTGTCGCATGTGCTCACTGCAAATTAAGTCTGTATCACACACTAAATGACTTGCCTTTCTAAGCTCTAGTTAGGACATTACCAACCAGTACTCCATCTCGTCCACAGGTGTCAGCATTAGCTACTACAACCTCCTGAGTGTAAACAAGGAGTCCATGCAGGGCCCAGGGCTGCAACCAGAAGTAAAAGCAATTCTCCTCTGTCCTCTTTTGCTTTTCTCCGTGTTATTCTATTTATTCCTACATTTCAACTGGTAGCTCTACCCACTTTCAATTGATCATTTTAGCTACTGAATTAGTACCACGAAGTAGACAATGTCTGTTTACATATTAAAAAAAATAAATATATATATACATGCCAGCAAGCACCAGCTATGCAACCCAGGTAAGCTGGTTACCAGGACCATCAAACCTTAACTTCTCAAAGAAAAATCACTGGGAATTCAAAGATCCTACTTCATTCACACATTTTAAGGCGTCACAAGTCACCTGAGGAACAAAAACTAAAGAACCCATTAACAAAACTGCTTTGCTTAAAGATGGAAAATCAGATTTTACTGATGTTCAGTAGCATAAGTTTTCTTAATTCTGTATTTCTTTTTGCTAGCTAATCCTTCATAGCAGTGCCTGATAATGCAGATGAGAGTGAGTTTGCTTCTCACTTCATCCATTTTCTATTGTAAGTTTGTAGCACCAAAAAAAAACCAAAAAACCAACCCCAAACCAACCAACCAACCAACCAACCATACTCACCATCAAACTGCTCCTTTCCTCCTGGTATAACATGGTGGTGCTCTCTCTGGTGACTTCCTTGTCAGCTTTCATTCAGATGGGTTGGATCCTACTGTATTTTTAATTAATTACTCTGTTAAATACAGCTATGTAGGAGGCCTAACCTGCAGCAGGCTCCCTAAATTGTACAGGCTCCTCATATCAGCACTGAAGGAGCCCCAAACCTCAGCTATGCTGTTCCATGTCTCAGTAGGGACCTGCTACTACCAGTCCTAATGACTTGAGAGAAATTAAAAGGAAAGCTGCTTTCCTCCCTGAGTGTGTCTTCTGCCCTGTAGGGTGTGAGCAAAGTGGACCTGCATTTCATTGACTTGTATTGGCCTTAGCAATTATTCAGTAGTTAACTGGAAGGTTGGAAATTATCCTTCCACATCTTCTGCTTCAATATGGTTTGAAGGGCCCATTCATCACTCAATTACAGCTGGTACCCAGCTCAGCATTTAGGTACCACCATGTGCAACAGGGAGAGCTTCTGGAGGAGTGGAGATGTAGCTCTTTCCCCCTTTATATCTTTCTTTTCCTCTGACTGCACTAATTTCACACTTTTATATTTTCCATCCAGCACTAGTTGGTGATGCTTCTCACATGTCAGAAATTGCTACTGACATTTCAATTTTGCTTTATTTTTCTGCTTTCTTTGATAGCATTATAGAGAGCATTTATATTTGAATAAAAAGCAAATAATGCATGTCAGAGTATGCATCAGGGAATGTCAAATCGGTTTTTTTCCAATTACAACTCTATTTCAAATAGGGTAATGCAATTAAAGGATAATTACTAGAAGTGCAAAGCCAAGGTTATGATCAGAAATGGTTACCCTTTCACTTGGAAGGCCTGTCTTACTAAATAAAACATTCCTGTGGGGCAAGTTACTCTGTGAATCTGCAGGTATCCAGGAGCATCTCCATGTCTGGCATTGCAAGTGACTCTTAGTATACAAACTACTGTGTTAGGACAGGGGACAAGTGGCTTTAGCACTGATTAAATTAATAGTGTTTAATAAGCAGCATCATAACGTGCATTTAAATAGTAGCCATGGTAAACTGCCTATGCTTTCTTGACACTGAGCTGTACTTTGAGGCCTCATTTCTTTGATGAACTAGCAGCAACAAAATAAGGAAGGAGAAAAAAATAATTGTGGGGTTCCTGATTCTTTGCTGATGGAGCATATTTATCACAGCTCCCCAAAGGCCAGGGGAGGTTGTCCCCCCAGCAGGAGAGGTTTGGTGTGCAAGCTGCAGAGCAAAGCTGTGTGTTCCTGGGTGGATGTTCAGCCCACCAGCAATGTGCAGCCACCTCCTGCTGCCATGGACATGTCCAGTGACCCAAAAACTCTTGAGTTTTCATTCCTGTGACCTGGACCAAACCCGAGCTAAATGAATATATGTACTGCATCCTGAGGGGAACTTTCAGCTGCCTGTGAGAATGCATCTGCTGTCCTTTCAAATGGCAAAGGTGCACCTGAAACACTCAAGAAGGACATTCCTCCAGGCACAGCAGAGATGGGACCAGCACAGCCATCAGGGCCAGCCTAGAGAGGGATTTTGGGCTCTCCCCTCCCCTGTGGAGGGAGTTTCCCTCTGCAGTTTGACTCTCTTCATTT